CACAACGCAGAACTTTTTTTCATATAGGGGAGACATATATTTTACAAGTGGTAAACACTCAACATGCTTTTGTTGTGGTATAACCTTCGAATGGCCGTTGGCCTGAATATCCACTCATAATGTTCCGCTTCTTTTAATGTTTCACTCTCTGTATTTCAGTTGCACTATGTATTTGTACCCCAATACCTTTTCGTTGAAAAGGAGGAAAATCCTCGTTAACGCTCGGCATCCTTGACGATCTCCAGCGTTCACTATTTAATATTTTCAAGCAAACGCAGTATGACCAAAAAGTGAAGACGCGCCGTCTGCTAACCAATTTTGATGAACCGTCTGCGTTCACAAACTCTGTTAGTAGACGACGGTTTTGTCTCCAGTCACCTGAGCACATGTAAAGTGGAATTAAAGCCTTCAAATTAGCGTGCCAAAAGAATATTATTACGTGGTGGCTAAAATAACACCCACGTCCATCGTGCAGGAAGAGTTTTCCATGCGAATTTAAGACATCGCAGCTGACGGTTCACACCCGTGACGTTCCAGACGTGCGCAGTGTTCTAGCCTATGACATGAACTGAAAGCTAATGAAACACTGATATTTTAAATGTGATATAGTATTTCTTGACTATATTTTATATTTATATACATAAGAAACAAAAACGTCGGTCAGCTGCAAATGTGCTTTGTTTTGGCTTTGATAAAAAGTATCCCAAACAATATTTCGAGTTGTTGCTATTCAACTTGCAAGCGCACCCGGACATATAGTTTAGAGAAAAAAATATGCACTCTCTAGTCACTATAAATAGACATGTCATAATGTCGAGATCCTCAGCTTTAGCTATACAAATATAATTAACGAAAGTAAGTACCCCGTGCAGTGTTTCACTCGACCGTAGCAGACGACGGCGTGCGTTCCCGACGAGGTGGACGCCTGGAGGCGATGTTGTTCTGCCTTATATTTAAAAAATAATTTCTCCAAAATAACAAAAAGTACTTTTCTAATTTTTTGATATGTTGAACAGATGGGGTCGGTTAAACTTTTGGCTATTTCAGAAAATGCGAGCACCGTTGCCCACATGGCTTTTTTTTACCCTCTATAGGGCAGTTTTTGAAGAAAGTGTCATATTCACCATTTAATTAAAAACTGTCCGAATAATTTTTTACTGTGGTAATGCAACCTAGTCGAGTATAAGGTTTATGAAAATAAGTAGAAAAAGGTTCTTAGTCAAATTTTAATTTCAAGTTGACTAAAAAAATCAAGAAATCTTAAAAATTAACTTCGGTTTGGAGTGCCTGTCTGGACCCAAAATGGCGGCGTAAGGTGTTTTCCTTTCAAGATAAGACAGAATATATTTATGCTTGATTGCATGCAAACGTAAAATTATGTGGTAAGAATAGCTTTTTTTCAGCATTTTTTTTTAAATACAGGAGGTTTTCTCAAATTCCCTGCACTTTGGAGCATGACGTCAGCAAAAATAAACATAATTCAGCCCTCAAACTTAGCCATCCTTACTTTCAAATGTGTCTTCATTCATATTATTTCTTTCAAGCATATCCAAAATATGACGAAAATTGTCGTCTCCTTTGGCATGGAATGACCCAATGGTAATAAATGTTTTTGTTGACTTGCCCACTTGATACAAGGCTTCTCCTATTAGTGATGGCTGATATTTCTGCACGGTAGTGGTGCCTCATACATGTAAATGAACGTATTTGCACGAAGTTGTTTTAAGAATTAAATTGTTTTTCCTGAAACATCTTATTTTATAACCACACAGTTCACTTTAAAAGTTAGAAAAAGCTGTTGTCCGCCTCTTGATAATAACAGTTAGCACTGAGTATGCATGTAAAACTTATATTTAGGGTTCTGATTTTACGGTCTAAACCGATAAAAACCGATAAAAGTACTCCCAATTCATTTTTGAAAATTCGGTTTTAACCGAAAAGGTGTGTTTTTAGGTTCCGAATTTTTCATTTAAACCGATAAAAACCGATAAAGTACGTCGAATCTATTTTCTAAAATTCAGTTTTAATCGGAAAAGGTCACTTTGGACTTCCAGTCGTTCCGCAGAGCCGCAGAGCCATGGCGAAAAAGTGGAACGACAGTGTCTATTGAAAAGTGTCCGAATGTATGGGATACACGGGTGTCATAACGACGTTTTGGTTTAATGTGCGCATCATCGACCGGAACGTGAAGAGTCCAAAATGCCCCATGACTTCGCCATGTACGAGCGTGTTTTCAAACTCGTTGTAAGGAAGACTGATTTGATGCAAGCTCTGCATGATCTGTTGTGCTTCAAAACGTCGCACCGTCTCTCTTTTGGCGGTCACAGTTGGTTGATTGGCCGATTTTGGCTCAGTCAGCGCTTCATCTCCTCAGACTGCCAGTGTTCATGGTTAGCGTTGAGAGTGCATTCTCGAAGCTCAGTGTCATATTAACAGGAAATGAAGAGTGCGGATCAACGAGGAGAACCTGGGAAAGTACATGTGTGTTTGTACTATATTTAAGATCACGTAATCCTGATATTGAGAAGGTGAAGTTCCATGACTTTGGGCATAGGCTTCATATCTGACTTGCTTATACTTATGTATATTTTTCTTGTTTCTTTAACAGTTGCACACATTTGCAAAATAAAGTGCCCATTTCTCTTTGAATGTATCTGTGCCGTTATTCTTTGAGTGATCACCAATATGAGAGCTACAAGGATAATCCGATCCGATGTCCGTTGGTGTTTATCTTATATTCACCGAAAGAAGCCGATAAACTTTTGTGGGCATAAATATACGTCGAAAAAAAATTGAATATTAAAATGAACACCGAAAAAAATTCGCCGAATTTTGAAAAAAAAAATAGAAAACGAAAACGCGGAACCCTAGGTATATTCCTAAGATTAATATTAAAAAAGAAAAACAAAACCAGTCACTATATATTTTTTGTTTTTTTAATTGTGTAACCAAATATTTGGCCAAAATCACTTCCGACTATTTGCGTTTTGTCATCATTGGGCCACATAAAAATTACGACTTGAGCCGCGGGTGATTTTTGACAACCTCGTAAAACTACCGTGCATCGCACGAAGGGGCCGCGGCGGCCGTCAATCAATTAATCAATCAATCAATATTTATTTACACAAGAAAGCGGAACACGGGAAGCGTGCTCGGCTGGGTGAAGGATCTCAAAACCCGTACGCTGAAGTGCCTGCAAGCTCCCCATGAGCAACTTATTAATTAAGAAACATGCACAAAACAACATTTTAACCGCAACGCCCAGCGACCTTACAGGGCACGGGCATCGTGTTCGACCTCCCACACGAAAACAGCCGATCAAACCTACGTGCGTGCGTACTCTTCATTTCTTCTACATCGCCATAGAAAGTTATCTCGGATTAAAGAAAGCCTTTTCTCCTAGATAATCCATGCGGACAACGTTTCTTTTTTTTCAGTTGTGAATTGTAGAGAAGAAATGTCGTAAATCCCGCCAAATGCCTTTACAAACCAAATTGCTCAAATATAATGAAAATATAAAAAAAGTAAGTTTTCACGGGTAATCGAACCCGAGACCGCCGCGTATGAGGCACACGTCTTACCACTACGGCACCCCGTCGTTTTGAAATAAGCGCGATAACAGGGGCTTATGTTGACGGCAGACGCGCGCCTGTGAGTCACAATGCGGGAAGCCGAATCTGGGGTCTGGTACTTTTTGGATAGGTAGCTTTCTTTTTTTTTTTCGAATAAGGGAAATAATTACCATATTTAGCTTCACCTTTTGGTAAGAGATAGATGCCTCAGCGGGCTCGAAATATTATTTCTTGAATGCAATGCTGGTGCGTAAGGAGCAACATGCTTGTAACATAATTTCTTGATGACAGGTTCACAGGTAAATTTCGGTTCCAAATTCGTTGAGTATATATACTCCGAGTGGTCCACGTAAGTTATCAGTGTGTAGGGCGTGTGAGTGGAGTATGTTGTTACTGTTCTACGTGCCTGTGTGTGTTCGTATGTATACATGTATTTGCGTCGGAGGGAGGCTGTGTTGTGTGTACCACGGCGCAATGCTGCTGCCTTATTAGGCCTAATATTTCTTTTTCCTCAAATCGATGATGATGATGATGTTTGTGGAAGCGCCATCTGGTGTTGGCGCTAGAAAACACTAGGTGGCGCAGGTCACCGCCCGTTTCACAGCGTTCAGTGCTTCGTATTTATCCATTCATTTGAAATGAAAACAATCATAGAAAGTGTATCATCGGCTCGATCGCTTGTTATCGCGTCCTATTGACTGATAAGCGCCCTCCGTGCGCTAAAAGCTAGTGAATACATACGAACGAGTGGATATCTCAACGAGAAAGGTGAGCAAACGCGTTATAAAAGCATGGTTGCATCGGTTTGTCCACCGCATGTCTCCGAGTCTCGTCGTCGCTTACCGGCCACTTACGGCATCCAGTTGGTATGCTTAATAACCTCTGCATCGCACTGTGTACGGTGCCGGTGCTTGGAGAAGGATGTTTGGGGTCGTCAAATAGGAATACGCGCCTTGTGCCTTGCTTTCGCAAAGCCACGTGAGCCGTGCACCTCGTTACAACTGCCCGTCACTCGCCTCGCACCCGCCGACCGCCATGTTGGTTTAAGGGAGGAAATTTTCTCCTTTGCCGAAAGGCGCAAATTTTCTCCCTGAGCAGGGCAATATATGGGACATTTCAGTTTCGCCTTTTAAGGAGAAAGCATCACTCCCTTTTTTCTTGGAGTGTAGGTGGAGCAATGGGCCAAGAGATGGTGTACGTCTGTGAAGCAAATTGTTATCTTTTATTCACCAAACGTTCCACTTGTTTTCTTTTTTTTTTTGTTGTTTTGTTTTCTAGCTTTAAACTATGATCGGCTGCCATTTGAAGAAGATAACGTTACTCTTGAACCCTTCTAAAAAAACCCGCCCCCTCCCATTATCAGGCTCCATTCAAAGAATTTTTTTAGAAACAAAGAAACTTCGCAGGGGTGGCGAGTTCCGATTTATTTTTATAAATATTGTTGCAAACCAATCCAGAGTAACTTCGTATCCTCAATCAGGCGGCACATCATTCCACAATGTTTGGAAAATGTCGGTCTTCATCCCCTCAGTCCTTGGCGGTTGTCTTCCCGCTGCAAACTTTTGTGGCAGTGCCGGGATTGTCCGACTCTCGATCTCCTGCTGAAGCGCACGGCCAGTCGATCGACGAAGCTCCCCATGTTGATGTGGCTCGACCTCACCGTCCCAGAAAGGCTCCGGCCAGGCAGCTTCTCGGGCTCTTTGCAGCACCGGCACATGAACTGGCGGAAGTATATGTGGAACCTGAACGGGAAGACGGAGCTCTTCAAAGTGTAACGACATATAATCATGTACTAGAGTCATCGACAGCCTAAGAAACGTATTACGGGTAGTATAATGTTCACGCTTATTGCGTTTGACTTGTTATCCTGCGTTCTAATTGGCTTAAGACGCAAGCTCGTTGGCTACGACCAAAATACACTAAAATGGATTTGGAATACAAATACTGGTATACATGACGAAGACAGCCAAAATACTGATACTGAAATACAACTGTATGAAAGTATCCCGATACATATCAGAAATACCTTTGAAAAATAGAAAATATTTTGATATACAAATACAGGGATACATTTTTCCGGGGCAATAATAATCACATACATTTACTCACATACTCACATACTCTATTGTTACATATTATACTTTTATATCAAAGCAACACAAAACAAAAGTAAATATACGACCTTTCTGCTACACTCGCCCGCATATAAGAAGTAGATTTCTAAAAATAGCTCATCGGCCATCCGCCGCTGATTTGTGCAAAGCGTTATGCCAGCGACCAAGATTATCCGTTCCTCAAGTGTCAATGAACGCGGGTTCATATTAAAACGAACGAAGACTGTTTTCTCATAGAAAAAATTTTAAACCATGCAAATAACATTTATTCGGTTTTGTATATATAAAACCTCATTTGGAGGTGATTATACATAGGCTTTGTTGGCATGGTTTGCACTTCTAAGGTGAAAAACGAGTCCTCCCGTGAAAACGCGAACTCATACAAATCGTGAGGAAGAGGTTGAAGTTCGACTTGGGCGACATCGAGCTCGAAATTATTATCAGATAAAATTGCCATTTTTTTTAGCATAGAGCTGTTGGATTCAGCGGGTTTTCATCAGGTTGTAAATGCGCTCCACAAAAATGCAGTGCCGTTTTTCCTTAGATATATCGCACGCCTTTGAGGCAATGTTACATAAACCTGAAAACCCAAATACTCCCGCAAGGGCAGTATTATATAAAGGAGGGCGAAATTATTTTCTAAGAAAATAAAATTGCTACACAGGACATATGACATATTAACCTCCAACTATATAATGTATCATATTGACTCCCACGGTTCGGCAGAAATGCTCTCAAAATATCTGAAAATGCAAATAGTGGGATATGTGGCAAAACCAACTAAAATACTGATATTAAAATACATTTATAAAAATGTATCGCTACACAAATTTGAAATGCATTTGAAAATATAAAACGAAAATATTTGAAATTACAAATACAAGAATAGTTTTTGGTGGGGCTAAAACACAGACGCTAAAATACATTGTTATAAAAACATTTTTTTTCGTGTTTGGGTGCACCCTTTATAGCATACGAAGAACAGAAATGAAACATGATCCAGAATACGAGATTTTGTTTTTAAAACAGCAAGCAATTGCATTTTGCAAAGTATTAATGGGGCACTAAAAAAGATTCTGAGATTGTCTACTCTTGGTCATAACTGATTCTACGGGTCCTAAGCATCACGCGACGCCAATTTTTTTTATTAAAAACGTGATAAAATGTCGGAACACATACCTTTCTGAGCGGATCTTTCCGCTCATGAAAGGCGGAGCATACCCCAGCAGCAGCGTCAGCGCGGTGATGATGGGCGCTCGTCGGTCAATCGCAAGCCGCCTCTCTCGGAGAGGCAGAATGCGATTGAGTGGCGACTTGCGATTGGCCGCCAAGGGCCCATCGTCACCGCGCTGACGCCGCTGCTAGGGTATGCTCCCCCTTTCATGACCGGAAAAATCCGCTCAGAAAGGTGTGTGTTCCGACATTTTATCACGTTTTTAATAGAAAAATAGGCGCCGCGTGATGGTCATTTTTGGAAATTTTGGATGCCTAGGCGCGTAGAATCAGTTATGATCAAGAACAGACGATCGTAGAATCCTCTTTAATGCCCCGTTAAGTGAAGGAAGCGATTTGTTTCACCCTGGTTCTACCGCGGTTTTATTTAGACCTCTCTTATCTTTCTTAAACAATATAACAGGGATATCTAAATCAGTTTTCTGTCCTTCCAAAAAACCTTTAGATGCCACTATGATTATGTCCAATCCGGACGCGTCTTTCAGCCGTGACATTATAGCGTAACAATGAAGTTAAGTTCAAGTAACCCGAATCCTTTTATCCATGAGTTGGGAGTGCCAACAGAACATTCAAGTTTTAGAATCGACTGGAATGTTCCACCACCTAAATTGTGGCGACATATTTGTTAACATTTGCACAATAAAGAAGGAGTCATGAGCTGTCAGAGACCCAAACCGTCCCTGACGAAACTTTGTCTTGGCCCTCTTTGTGGAGGTCAACAGTTATTTTAACATTGTAAAAAAACATGCCGGCCCCAAGAGTACAGCAATACCAAAAGTACACCCGAAAACGTATTTCGGTACATAAATACAAAATACAGTTGAAAAAATGTATCGCGATACAGAACTTTAAATAGATAATGTATTTCCGAAATACTATCGCCATACACTTGTATCGCAATACTGCCCAAGCTTGATATTGAGTTCGTCGAAACTTTGTCAAATACATCCTGATGACACTCTTCGTTAAATTCACATATGCTAAAGCGGGCGTCCTTAAACGGTGTTATTTTTTTTAATTAGAACTAAAACACTGTAATTCCATTGTGATTCTTTGCACTTATGCCATTTGAAATTGAAACGGCATTAGGATGTTATGAGAAAAATAATTTGCTATAAATATCATCGTCCTTGACCGCCAACTTATGGTCACCACCATTGTAATTCTGAAGCTCGATTCTTTATAGCAAGCTTGCTTTCAAAATGTTTTCAACCTCTTCACCATCCCATCCTCATCGTGATTACACGGTTCATTTGTACAAAACCATTTTATCATCATTAGAAGCGGCGGGGCAGGCCTTCAAGATAATGGCGATTTGCATTTCTGCGGCGCCGAGGCTCGTCTAAGTAAAAGTAAATATATCATATCATATCATAACATATCATATCATATCACTTTTTATAGATCAAGCAATTGTGGCACGACAAACAAAACGTGCACGACAACCACCCACAAGACTGTTTGAACGACCGAACCCTTTCATCAATACCCGTAAATTTACTGCCCACGCCATCCTTCATAAAGAAAGGGAAGTTTAAACGTGCTGGTACTCTGCAAACTTGCTCCATTCGGGCAGCGCCACCACAAACTATATAGAAGATGAGCCATTAGACTTCATTCACTTTTCTTCAATCGCTACCCCAGGGCTCGTGTTATTATTATTTACAATATCGGGCAATAAGGGTCAGCGCAGCTTGTTCCTGACATGTTAGAATGAATGTGATGGCGTGAAATGAATACTGCTTAAGCGACCGCCAGAAAACCCGATAAAATATTTGGGCGAAATAATGTTTTCTAGGCTGTCTCCTCGACTGGCAAGTTATATAGAATGTGACGTCAGCCCACTGGAGAGCTCTAGAAAAAGTTACTGTTGCTTGTGGCAGAACATTCATTTGATGTTTTTTTTTAAATCCGTATTATGAGTTAAGAGGAAATAAGAAAAACTAGCTTGCCGGAAAGACTAAATAAAGCCTGTGTATTCCAAAAATACGTTTGGTCTGAGTAGCTCAAAAAACCGCAAGACTTGCTCGAAACGGGGCTCTTAATGCACTTAGAGTTTTCGGTTAAAATTAAGCTGCGAAAATCATTGCGGCTCATTCTTGTTATGGTTATTGTTTATAGTATGAAGAGAAAACACTCAAAACTATCATTGACCAAATGTATCCTTAAACGATAGCAGATCGAGAAGTGAACTTGATCAAAGAACAACTCTTATGTTTCACGGCTGTTGCAAAGAAAAACTAAAATACCTGATAAGGCACATAATTGCCGTGGGTAACTGATTGGGTACATCGTGGGCTACTTTTTGGCATCAAAATGACATTTACAAAATCGCACTTTGAATTTTATGAATAGAATCATGTTTAGTTGCGCTCTCTGAGCAGCTTAGTAGTTCCATGTTTTCCTGGTTAGAAGCTTTTTTTAAAACGTCCTGCTCAACGCTCTGAGTGTTTGGCAAGACATGACTTATCTTAACATTCGAACACTCTCTTTTACAGAAGCATGCCTTGGTTACTTATTCGCGCTTCTTTTTCTTTTTTAATGTGTGCCAACGTGCCTAATTGTGCTCCATTGATAACTTTGCTGAGGGGTTGCCGGCCGAGTGGTCTAGCGCACACCAGCTCGAAGCACGCGGAGTGAAAGCTCGCGCTGCAGAACCCAGGGATGCTGGGTTCCATCCCCACCCCTGCCCGCTTCGATCTGGATGAGCATCGAACCGGCGTGCGGTTATGTATCCCTACTGCGTAGTGCACGCTAAAGACCCCAGGCTAGCAGTCGTAATTCCCTAGCTTAATTACTCATCTACAGTTGGCAACAATGTCGCCATGTACGGGCAGACTAAATTTCTGCTGTATAACAACTACCGACTCATTTCCTTCTTTCTTTCTTTTTTTTTGGGGGGGGGGTTTATACCATTGCTGTCCACATGCAGGTTCCTTTAGCACAATACAACAGCTGTTTCACAAGCTGGACCTCAGTTTCAATATAGATGCAGCAAGAAAAAACCTAAATATCATGTACAAAATAGCCTAGTTTATTTACTTCTTGAAAATATAGGCCTATTTCCCAGCCCACAAAAGCAAAAAAAACAACATACTAGAGCTTTGCTCGCACTCAAAAAGTAAACATGTTTTATGTCATCTTATGCAGAAGCATATAATGAAAGCATAAAGGAATAATGAAATGAAATTAAGCATGTAGCAGTATCTTAATGCGTCGCCTCGCTTGTTCTAAATTATGCATTTCAAGATTAAAATATCAAAACAGGAATGAGGGCAACACTTACCTGCTGTTCATAAAATAGTAGATGATTGGATTGTACATAGCGTGTGACATGGCCAGCCAGTACATGGCCAAGTACACGTGCTGAATGTGGTCGAGGTACGCCACGTGAGGATGATGAAACACGTAGAGGAAGTAGATGTGGTACGGGAGCCAGCAGACGGCAAAGAGAGCCACCACAGTGAACAGCATTCGCACCACCTGTTGAAAGGAAATGCAGCTTATGTTTCTCATTGTTCAACCCGCTGAATTTCTACTCGGCACTCTAGCAAATTGGGAGAGGCCGCAGAATTTATTTTGTTATTGTTGAAGAATCGAATCTGGAACAGATATGCCTCAGCTCTCAATGGAAAGACAGTAGTATTCCTAAATAAGAAAGTGCGAAAATTCTAAGCGTGTGCAAGTACTGTCTAGAATTTAATAGCGCAGCGTAATTTATAGCCTTCAGGGTGGAAGAGAGCTCTCCGACATACCGACCTTCGTTGCAGCGCTGAAGCTAAGGATTAAGCTGTGCTATTTGATTCCAAAAGTAATCCAACACACCAACGAATAACCTATGTCCTGTTTTGTGAAAGTGGATTTACCCAACAAATTAGTGAAGTTTGAAGTTATATTTTCTCTAGTTAATCAGTTCCCTTTGTCGCGTGCAAAGCCGTGGTTGCCGTCATGGACAACAGTCGATGACAGTTAGGTATGGCATTTACTATCGCGGACAGTACTAGCTGAAACAGCACTTCGTTGCCTTTTTTAGTGTATCCGCCAGTTTTCGAGAAAGCTGTCGCTTGAACTGGAAATGGAATGCGAAGTTGAGGTTCCATACCTCGGACAAATTGAAATATAATACGACTTGTGGGGACCGCAGACGTAGAAGACCGGATCGCCACTTTCAGATCGTATTTTCCCTGGGGGTACATAGTTATTATTTCCGGACAGCTGTGGTTAGGGGGAGTGGCGGGGGGGGGGGGGGGGGGGCGGTGCAGCAAATATGCGATGAAGTGCATGCATCAACACACCGTAAGGTATTTGAACTCCGCAACCAACAAACTTTCAGGAGTGCGATTTACGCATCTCGACGTAGTCTTTAGAAAAACTTCAGAAGTATTTTGGCGAGTCAATGCGGCAACCGGTCAGTTTTTTGCACTGCAGACCAATTATAATTTTATGAGCACAATTTTCCTGGCCTAGAAAATATATCGAATTCAAGTCCTACATGTAGCAGCTTCAACGTATTATTTTTTTAAGATAGAGGCCAAATACCGCTGTTGCGCAACCTCACTTTTGTTCAATACGGTCCAGATGTTCTTGATAACTCTCGCATAATATCGTGTTTGTTCAGATTTGAAGCTAATGGAAAGGCTTTAGCGGGCGTTAGAACGCATAGGTGTAAGCACGCGAAAAATGAGGAAAAGATATTGGCATGAAATACATGTTGACGCTTCCATGGCGAAAGTGCTACTAAATCTGACCCCGAATAAGATCTCCCGGTATTTATATCAAATTTTTGGAATGATTTTAAATTAAAAGATCGAATTTATATACTCATTACGATTGTTGACGCGTCAAATAATATGTCATGCGATTGCATCTTTCTATGAAACATTTAAAAAGGATACCATGTTAAGTAAATATATTCTCACGCAGGCCTGTTGGCATGCAAGTTCAACAGACAGTTCAAAACCACGAATTTCCGTAAAGTTTCTAGAAATTTTGTGTGGTTGTAGTCTCAATCGATGAATCAATGAAATACCATATAAACGCCATATTACCCCTAGTCAAAAAGTCATATGCACCCATGTGACCTATATCTCATAGTAACTGACGAAGGACTCTAATAGATAAACAAATTAAACTATGTATTTTTATTAACGGAACTACAATTCTTCCTTACTTCTTTTATTAGCATATATTCGTAACACACAAAACAAATACAGGTATTTTTGCCACATATGTTAATTAATATATCGCTACTTTGAAATTTATTTAAGACAGATAGAATAAAACAATAATATTCGTGTGCCATCTGACAGGGAAATTATAATGAACAAATACGGACAGATATCAAAGTCACCTGTGTGCTCGTTTTTGAAAAAAATAGCATATCATATCTTATATTACTGTTTTGTATAGTCTTGTCCTATGGGTTATTTTTTTTAACAGGAGTTCGATTATTTGTTTCACCTATTTAGTTGTCAGAATTGGATATGCGGGCTTCTTATGGGTAACACCTACACTGTTGCGAAACTCAGCGTCAAAAATGTACTTACTGCTACAGAACCGCGCGACCGTCACACACGTATGCCTGTGTTGTATGTGCCGTACACAAGGCACGTGTACATATTTTGTTTTCTCCTCTTATTCCGTTTCGTTCACTTCGTCATTACCACACGTCATTACCACCCATATATATACAGTACAGTACACGCGTGTATAACGATCGACAACACCAAAAGTTATACACTCATATACTAAAATATGAGAAACAAAAATTGAGAAAATATTAACTTTATACGTTGCTTATCTTCGTGCTACAAATCATTCTTTTTTATTGGCATTTTGTTTTACATTACATGTTGCTACTCCACATACTAATAGTGTTGCAACGCAACTGTAGCGCTGGGTACGCCATTGACTTTACCCAATGCCAAACCCTTTCGTAACTGTTCTACGTGATACAAATTTTACACACAACAGCATGCGACCTAAGCGCACGGTCGAAATAACAGGCGACAAAACAACAACGCGTTAAAAAGGCACACTAAAAAAAGTGCCAAAAGAATATAACGTAAAAAACCTCAGCGACGAAGGGGCACAAACTGAAATAGCGCAGTGGCAATATTAGGGTGTCGCGTAAATAGACTGCTTGCCTCATACCAGTCTTAATAAATATCACGGTGAAAGTGATAACGTAATAGAATAAGAATATAATTTCTTCAAATATTTATCGCCTAATATACGCGTGTGTCTGTTAGCCATAAACCCGTTGTTGTCCTGCGGTAATCGCGATGACAAGAAATCACAGCTATAGAGAAACTCATTCGAGGACCAGACTTTAATTTTAGTACTCTATTTTTTTCTATTTTAGATTATGCTTTTATTGGTAACGTACATCATTTACATCGATTCTTATATTTTGATGTTTCTATTAGCATAGCTCGTTATAAAATGGCCGCCGCACTTGCGAAAAAAGGTAAATGTTTAAACTTCTATCACCGTCAAAGTATTCAACGCTCTGGGAGCACATGGACACGCATAAATCTAAAATATAATTTCATTGAAACTAAACTACGAGTAAATGTATAAAAACCGTAGACAACGTGTCTTCAGGCGCTTTGTTACAAGGCAATCGGTAGATTTTTATAAATATATTTTACCGCGTTAATCTGCGCTGAAACTTAAAAATCACATCCTCGTCAACAAAAATTGTGTCCAAGAATAATTCGAAATGTAAGAGATAATGCAACAAATTGAAAAAGTAGCACACTAAATGATTCAATGCGAACTTGTAGTTGGACTAGTTGGTGAGCGTTATAAACCACGGTGTAAGGCACAAAACAAACCGTACACAAGGACGAAGACACAAACACAGGCGAGTGTCAAGGTTCCTGAGTGTATCTTACGTCCTTTATTGTGGGAAGTAATTGAAACTGTTTCTTTCGGCTTTCTGTTGAAGGCGACTTTTCCAGCGAAAGGGTGAACCGTACCTGACCGGAATTTTTTATGCTTCCGTAAATTGCAACAGCGAGGTACCATAGGTTACGACCAGCTGTGGTAAAAACAACTTCCTAAGTTCAGCTGGTTGGCTGTGATTCATATTAACGTTTCTATTTAGTTGAACGCACGAATTTTCCTGTGTTGCCTCTCATTTGCTGTTCTAGTGTTTTTCGGCGGAAAATTCATGAACGAAAAGGTTCTCGTTTATATGTTGAAAGACCAGTGGACAAACGCATGTGTTAATTCTCACCCAAGAGTGTTGAGAATGTTAATAAATAAAATCACAAAACGAAAAGTTAATCCAAGGGGCCAGGAATTTCTGATGGACCTGATGCAGCAAAAGTAAAGTAAAGCTTTGTTGTTAAGAGCATATTAAAGCACTACAGCATATTACCTAAAATGCTCCGGCAAAGAAAGAAGGGTTAACATAATACATTTTGAAATTTCTAGCCCGAGAAGAATCAACTAGAGTTTGGCGCTTTCTTCATAATAGGCCTCAATCAGAGGATCAAATGATTAAACGGCCCTCAGTTTCATATTTTAGTACAAGTGGAGATATTCACGATGTTTCATATTAATTGCACATAAAAATATAGTGGCGCTAGCTGACATAAAACTGCAAACGCTATGAATAAGGCCGCTTTTCTTAACCCGGCAAAAACGCAAGTTTTTAATCCTGCGTTAAACACCTACCTTGAGCTAGGTTCTTGCTAAACTCAAAGCACCCAAACGAGTGGAGCTTCTTAGCTGTGATATTTTGACGTTGTGCCGCCTTGGAAAAAGGTATTGTGTAGCTGTGCATTTCAAAAGTTTTGCTCAATTTTCTTTGTGCTGTTTTATCTCCGCACAGCTTCCCGCGTGCCGTATGGACCGTGTTGTTTCGTAACGAGATGATTTGTCGCGTGCTGCTAAGTTGTGAGCACGGTGTTCATGTCACGTTGGAACGTGGCTGGTGCTGCTCAAAGTACGAGCGGTATCGCTTTGATCTTGCACAGTCCGTCGGCAGTGACGAAGACAGCTCTCTCGCGGTCGCGTTCGTCGACTGCAATCTGCCAGTAGCCACTCTTCAGGTTCATCGACGAAAAATATCAGTAGTGACGCAGTCGGTGTAAAGTGTAGTTGATGAGGGAAAAGGATAGACTTCCTCCTTAGTCAAGCATTCAGTCGACGATAGTTCACACATAACCTCACGGTTCTGTCCTTCGTCTTTAGAAGCACGACTAGGACGCCCACGGTCTTTTTGAGGGTTGAATGATTTCGTCGTCGACCATTTCCTGGACTTTGTCTCGCATCAGCTTTCTCTCCATTGAGGAGATTTGGTAGGGCGACCGGTGGACAGAGAACGCGTCGTCGTCGGTAGCAATGCAGTGTTTCGCCACTGGTGTTTGGCGCACTTTCGATCAAGTGGAAAAACACTTACTGCATTCAGCGAGGACGTCAATTAGTCGCCGGCGCTTTGGAGCTGGGAGCTCGGTGTCAATGTCGAGCTC